CATCCTCGATTGTTCTGAGATCTTCAAAACACCTTGAAAACTGACCATGTAATGCTCCTAACATGGATGAGTACCTGCTGAGGTGATCAGCTGATGGTGTGACGTCGTTCAGGGTTTGCATGTGAGTGAGAGTGTTGCTCTCCAGTTGACTTGAAAGAAACTGCAGCTTTCTCATGAAGGCCTTAATGAAGCTGTGCACTTCATGAACAAAAAGGCCCTTGCCTTGCAGTTTGGTGTTCAGTTCATTCATCAGTGCAGTCACATCAACAGCAAATGCAAAATCTGCCATCCAATCCTCATCTGAGAGCTCTGGAATGTCTTTGCCTTTCTTCTCGCAAAACTCGAATCTCTGCTTTCAAGTCCCAAACGCTCTTCAGCACTTTCCCCAGGCTGAGCCATCTGACAGCTGTGTGGAGTCCTCCAAAAGAGCCACAAACTGTCTGTGATTCATTGCCCGTGCCCTGATGACGTTTATTATTTTAGTAACATCAGTAACATGGTTGATTTTTAGCACTGACTTGCACAACACATGTTGGTGTACAATACAATGCAAAAACACCAATTTTTGATCTGCATCGATTTCTGTCACTTTATCTTGCATGTGTTTAAAAAGTCCGACATTTTTCCCTGTAAGATTTGGACAACCGTCTGTTGTGACACCTGACAGTCTCTCCCATTTCAATCCCAGAGTGTCCATACACGCATTTACCTCTGTAAAAACATCACTCCCTGTCGTTGTCCCTTTCATCGACCGCATTGCTGCCAGCTCCTCTGTGAGCTTGAAGTCCGTTATCCCCGGACAAATACGAGCAGCTGGGCTGTGTCCCGGACATCACAGCTCCCGTCTAATGAGAAAAAGTCAAAACTTGCCACTTCACGTTGCAGCTGAAGCTCCAGGTTCCCCGCAATGTCCTCGATCCTCCTGGTCACGGTTCGCCTGGACAGCGGGATTTGCTCAAATGCTTCTTTTTTTCAGGGCATATTAGTGCGGCGGAGTCCACCATGCACTCTTTGACAAACTCCCTCCGAAAACGGCTTGCTGTTTTTAGCTATTTAGTGGGATATCACAAAGCTGGTCCTGGTTGCTGCATCCCTGGATGTGTGAAGCTTAGTAAAAAAGCCTTGCTGCTTTTTTTACTTTGCTAGCAAACCTTCGGATGTCCGTGCCCTCTCAGCATCAGACAAGTTCTTGTATCTTTCCGAGTGTTTCTTGTCGTAATGCCGACTCAAATTGTAGTCCTTAAACACGGCAATCTCCTCCCCGCAAACCAAACACACGGCTTTACCTCCGACTTCAGTAAAAAAAAATACTTAGCAGTCCAATTTTTGTTGAAAATCCTGCATTCGGCATCTTTTTTTTTATTTTATTTTTTTTTTTTTATTTTTTTTTTTTTGCATGAGCGGACATTTCTGGGGGCTACAATCACCATGTCAACCGCAGGCACTTGTTGCTATACGTATTGCGTCATTGTGCACGTACAAAAACAACTTCAAAATAAAAGCAATGCAGCCTTAGTCCATGCATGAGGTAAAATGAGAAAATACAATTATTTTGTAATTTCCAATTACCCTTTCGCGGGCCGGTCAAAGTCAACCAAAGGGCCGTATGTGGCCCACGGGCCGTAAAATGCCCAGGTTTGCTCTAAGGTAACCTACTGCTGCTAAAAAACAACCCAACATCATTCTTTCTGGTGTTTTTTTTTTTTTTGCTCCACAAATGTTACTATATTAAGAATTTAACTTCTACATTTGAACAGTATTTTAAAGGCTTCCATGTGCGCTGATCAATGAAAAAAGCAGAGATCAGTCAATCTCTGAAGAATGTCCATGTCACGGATTTCGTCCATCGTTGACACACCTTCACACAGAAGCAAGGCTGCCGAGCACAGGTGCCGCTGGTCCTTCTGACCACCACCATCAGGCAACGTGGGTTAAGTGTTTTGCTCAAGGTCATGCCAGCAGAATTCTCTAGAGCCGTGATTGAACCTGCAACCTTCCAATTACTGGACAACCCGCCCAACCTCCTGAGATACTGCTGCCCATTACAAACACCAGTGTTTTCCAGGTGCTACACACCTGAATATGCAACTTTTTCATATTTTTAAATACTTTTCCTGTGCCAGTATGTGCTTAAAATAACCCTTTAATTCAATTCAAAAATACTTTATTAATCCCAGAGGGAAATTGATTGCTGTAGTAGCTCTGAATAATAATGATAATCAAGTCGTCAAAGAGTTGTATATTACAATGGCTGTTAGCAGGAAGGATCTCCAGTAATGGCCTGTGGAGCATTTTTATGTGGCCCGCGAGATAAATATCAAAAATATATTAAAACTGACCCGCTGGCCAATTTTACCGCAAGACTACAACTCCCATGATGCTTTGCGGCCGAAGCGCGGAGCCGAAGCGCCCCCTCCTTTATGTTTTTTCCAGCATCTGCTGCCGGTCTTGGACAAACTAAACACTCCTCTCACTCAACGCCGAGTTTACTCAGCTATTTTCCGACGATGAAGTCCAGAAACAGAGATTTTAACTGCTCAGTAATGTGTTCACGACTGAAAGAGAATGTTTCCAACTAACTTCCAGACAGAGCTGATATAACCCCAGCGATCAGCAACACTCAAATCAGCATGACTCTGTGGCTGCTGTAGTTTTTATTTTTCCTCCCCGACACACAACAACGTGGTCAAGCTGCTCAGATGCTCTCCATGTTCATCAGCACAAACCTATGTGAGCACCTGTTGTCATCTAATGTTGTCATTATTATGATGAAGATTAACAAAACAACAAGAGTCTCCTCCTCAGCTCAGATCAGCCCCATGATGCAGGTATCTGGCTGGAACAGGTGAGCGTCACAGTAAATCAGTGGAGCAAACTGAGCTTTAAATATTTTGGTTTTATGCTCTTTTTCTGCTCCAAAACATGAACGTTAACAGGTGAGAATTGCATTTTCATTTAAGATAAAATGATATTTTTATTTTGTTGTTGGCCCGTGAGAAAAGATTTAACCTACAGTAAACAGGAAGTGGAAAGGCTGCAGATAGATGAATATAATAGAAAATCCCCTTATCGTTCCTCAGTGGGGAAAGCTAGATGTCACAGCAGCAATGACACTTATTACAGGAGAAAAGAGGAGAATGAAAAATAAGAAAAATGAATAAACAAGAAAACATAAATCCTGAAAAGATTTAAAAATGCTGAATATACCACAAGTAATGAATACCACATTCCACATTCAGTGTTGATGCAAAAATAATTTTGTTTCCAAATTAAAAGGTTCAAAATTGCATATATGTTGATGAAGAAAATGTGCAAATTTGCTGTCACTTTTTCAAAAAATATTAAGTTTGACCCGCAACTTCGTCCCAGATTTTCATTTCAGCCCAGTGTGAATTTGAGTTTGACATCTCTGCTCTAGAGGGTGCTAAAATCAAGCCAAAACTTCATGGTTTCTAGAGCTTAAACAAATCTTTAAACGATTTGATTCTTTAAATTCCTCAATTCATTTTTTTTTTTTTTTTTTTTACTGATTCGAAAATTTGTTAAATGTGCGCACCACAGTCTGAACACGTTTTGCTGCTGCTGTTTGGATTGCTGGCTGTAATGCATATAACACACAAGCTTGCAATATAAAGGACAACACCTGTTCCCCTCCAGCTCGGCTGTGTGCACTGACCTGTCCTGTGTGACCCTCATGTCCATGCTGTCTCTGGAGGAGCAGATAGGAAACAAGACCTCCTGTAACTTAAAATGAACCAAAGCTTCCTTCAGTTTCTCTTTAAGCTGAATTTAACATCAGTTTATCATCATGAAACAAAAGAATAAAGTGGAACAAAAACTTCTATCTTCTATTTCTCTCTCCTTTTAACTTCTTTGTGTCCCTAAATAAGAGACAGATGATCACGCTGCAGCCGCCGTCACTCACCCCAAGACCGGATCTCCCGACATCACATCACTCGGTCTGACTGAGCGCTTCCTGGAGAAACAATAATGAACTTATGAAAATAATAATGCGTGTTTGGAGGACCGTCCTCCCACCCTCTCTCTTATGTGAGCAGACAATCCCCCCCCCCCCCCCCTCCTCCTGTCTCAGTCGCTGATCGAGCGAGCGGAGCGCGCCACGCGACAACCCGCTCAATTAACATAATTCATGGCCCAAATCCAACAGAACCGATCGGGCTGATTCGGTTCGGTCTCAGGTTATAACTTCAGTGCTCAGCCCTGCAGTACCACATAAAGGCAGATCAAAGTTTCCTACCCGGTAAATGTGGAGAACGCCACCCTGACAGATTTGGATGCTACACTGGTGCCGCCTTTAAAATAACAAAACTACATTCCACTATAGTTGATTAAGTTACTCTTCTATGATGCAGAATCATTTATTCCCGCATCTCTATGCATTAATTATTTGATTATTTTTCTCAGCTCTATCTATCCTACACCTCCCGGTCGGCTGTTGGGGGTAGGGGGTGGGGGATGAGCACAGGGTTTGGGGCCACAAAGAGAGGGCTCCGGCCCTCGGGCCGTCAATTGAGTATCACCGCTCTACATTATAAAATAGATATGCCACCATTACATTGATACTAGTAGATGTTATAATTTCCAGTAGATTACTACTGAACATGTTACTGAAATAATTAAATTCTACTCATCAGATGTGAATATATTTTGATATGTTTAGACTAAGATGATTGATGTTAAACCTAGTATTTTATTGAAATGGAAGTCGAATTTTGTTTCATAAAATATTTACTAACTGTAAATATCAGCAGGGAAAGAGGGAACAGTCCCGTTTCACTTGAAATTTTGTCAAATAGAATACTCGATTAATCGTTGGACTATTCGTTGACCACAAGATGTCATTTTTTACATTATGCACTATTAATGTATTTTTTTTTTCTGACAGGAAAATGGGTGATTTCCCGATGATGGATTCCACCCGCTAGCTGAATTGTAAAAGTCTGTTAATTAATCCTGTTTTTCATATGCTTTGTCTTCAGCTGTTGTATGCTGTTGGAGCTCTGTGCCTCAAGTCCAGTTCCAAGGCCCTTAACACGTTTGGAGGGATTTCAAGAAGACTGCCACTGGTCAGAGAGCGAGCTGCATCTTTGTAGGCAGCTGATCTGATGGTTCAGCTTGTTACCAGCCATTTGAATAATTCCATTTTTGCTATTGCTGGCTGGACTACATAAATGACGGCATGTTACCATAACTCTACCATTTAGTGCTGTAACCCCAAACTTCGTGGACCTTCTATTAAATGGCTAACCACATGTCCAATCCCATGAAAAAGCCCTATACCCAAGGGAAGAAAATATCATCCCAGGGGCAAAATGAATTATCTACACAGCAAGCAAACGAGGATCCTTCAAGGGCAGTGCTACGTCTTTGGCCTGGATCTACCTTCTGCACTCCCACAAACCTTACTGGAATTCCTGCCATGCCAGAGAAGGGAGTCCCAGTATCGTCCTCTTTGCCAGTTTGTGACAAGCTAGAAACAACTGGGACCTTTTTGGCCAAAGGCTCAAAAAGTACCTTGAGCATTTGTGCCAGAGAAGAGACGCAACAACCTGTTGGTCATGCTTCTTTCTTTACCAGCACTCATAGTCACATTTTATCTTCTTTGACCACAGGGATGACCACCAATCCAGTGTCCTCAACCTTTCAAGGACATAAGCAAATCAGTGTTGGTAGTGACAGTAGCTCCTTTAATTGTTGGCCAAACAATGAAAATGCATCTGAATTTTCCTCCAAATTTCCTTTAAATTCATCTGATGATGGTCCTTCAGTAGAACAGCTTGTAGCCACAGACCTCAATCCACAATTAGCTGTAAACATTTTAATGAACTATGGACTTGGCGAAGAGGACTTGGATGAACTTCTTAGCTACCCTGAGGATCAAACCACTGCTGAGAACTTACCCAATACATTGCATGAACTTCGCATGAAGAAGATCAGGAGAGCTTCAGCTTCACCTAAATCATATCCTGGCGTTTCATCTCAACCCACATTTGTCATGGATAAAGTTGGCAGACTGGATGAAATCCCCCAAAACAGTCATAGACCAAGTAAAGTGGTTGACCCAGGACATTCTGGCAAATGTTTTTCAGAAGTTGAGGATAAAACTGATGAGACTATTTGCCAAACGGACAAGTCTGATAAAAACATGTTGCTAATTGATGGTTTGAAGAGTAGCGGCAACAATAACGAAGTTCCACAAAAAAGATTGACAGAGGTGGAGAGCAGTAGTGAGATGAGCAATATTGTGGCTACTCCAAGCAGTAATCCAACTAAACCGCAGACCTCACCCAACCAGACTTCACAAAAAGTAATCACCATTTTGTCTTCTTCAGATAAATATAAAGACATGTTGGAGCCCAGGCCTGAAGTCTTAAAATCTGTTCCTTCAGAAGAACCAGTTCATCATGCTCCATCAAAAACTGTGCCAGCCAGCAGTCCAGGCCAGAGTGTAAATTCTGGTCATTCTGGTGTCTTACAGGTGATCAGTAAAGATAAAAGTTTTGTGAAAAGTCAAACTAAAACTCAACAAGGTTCAAACATGACTGAGCCTGGGAACCAGCCTATTCAACAGAAAATGGTGCAGAAGCCATCAGCTTTACAGATATGGGAAGCCCTTCAACCTGCATTTCCTTTTAATGTAAAACCAGTTCCTAAATCTTTTTCCTTTCCCTCGCCTTCTGTTGCCTCACATTCCATTCAACCTCCTGTATTCATCGGCAATGATCCCGGCCCCAGCATTATTTACTCATCTCAGCCAGTCAGTGATCTGAGCTCCACTAGTATGTCACGCTCTAGACAACCTTTTCTAGCAAAGAATCCAACCTTCGAGGGTCTTCCACCACTGGCCATGATGCATGATTTTGCTGCAGTCCCACCAAGAATATTTCCACACACCTGCTCTTTATGTATGGAAGAGTGTGAACAAATGAAGGTGAGTGATTTACTTCTAAGGAAACTGAATATTGTCTGTTTTAGGATGTTCTAAAGTTTAAAAGATGAATTGCGTGAATGCTCTATAATTAGTTTTACTTCAAAGAGTGTTATGGTCACAATGATTCAAGTTTTCTTATCCTAACGGGTTAATTGGAATTTAATAGACTAATTTTAAATGAGTGTTGCGGTCACCACCAGAGTTTTGCTTGCCTTTCCAAGGATTTTAACTAATCCTGCTGCAGCAATCAGTTTTATTCAGTTTTGGCTAAATGAAGAATCTGGTATTTCTTTTTTTTTTTTCCTTAACTCTTCCACGTTCTAAATGGGTTTGAATGGATCGCACATGTTTTTATTGATTTTTCATAACTTTTTTTTTTTTTGGCTGACTCACATTCCTAATGGAGTCCACTGGACCCCAAGTGTTTATTTTGATTTTTGAGAAGTGAGCTCCAACTCACCCCTGCCACGTGGTCCCCATGGGACCGTCAGCCCTGCCCAATCATCCCCTGTTCTATAGGGGTCACTTGATAAGACATTGGGAGGGTTATAGAACTAAAGAGAAAAAGCAGCAACTTCCTAGCGACATAATTTAGACACTGATGAGGCTCAATGGATCTGTGGAAATTGCTTTTTAAAAGTTCAGAACAAGCGGGGCTTTATTGTTTTGTCCTGAAATTTGATTTGCTGTTACTGTGGCAAAGTACAAAGAAACACATTAAAGAGCACACACCACGATGCTGCCACAGAAGCCCTAATTTAAAGAGGGACTGCACGCCATCAGAAAATGTAAATGTCAATTACCAATAAAAAATATCTGAACCAGATTTCATAAGGATTTTGGGGACCAGCATCACTTTTCATGGTCTCCAAGCCGAACCGTTGATGCCCACTGCATATTCTCACTACAAATGGGTCCCCCCTTTTGCTAAATACTAGGAAATGGGTTGAAAACATTGTTTAATAATGAAAGCTGGATTGACATTTAACTTTTATGCTGTTGTTGTTAAGGAAAAAGTTCTGCCAGAAATGTGAATTAACAGCTGCTTTTGTAAATACGAGTCACTCTTGTAATTGTTTTGACAGTTGTGTTTTATTTGTGATTCCTCAGAAAAGAAACAGCATTTCGTTTAGTCACGTGGTCTCTTTCATTACACAGTAAAAACTTTGAATTGAATATCATGGCCAAAAACCTTCTTGACATTAGTTGACTGTCCTCATCAAGCTCAGCAAGTTTTGGTGCCACTCGAGCCAGAGGATCTGGACATCGAAAGAAGAATGCATGAACTTTTTGCATCTGGAAGACCTTTATTTCATGATAAGCACTTGTAACCATGTGAAGATTGACATCAATATGTGTTCAACCGTTTTGTGACATATATGTGATGGCACATAACAAAAATTGCAGTGAAACCATTAAAAATATTTATTTTTCTGTGACTATTAGGATTGGATGATCCACCAAAACACAAACCTGCACCTTGAGAACTGCAAACGCTTCAGAGAACGGTCAGTCTCTGTTTTTTATTTGACTTTTTTTTTCAGTAATTGCAAACTGGAGAGTAGTAATTGTGATATAATTTAAGCTAAGGGCCAACATATTTGGGTCAAACCAATTTAATAGAAGTTTTAAAAAGGAATATAATGCCATTTAACGTTTACTCTTATTTTTGCATGTATCCACACGACATTGTGAACAAGAGCCGTTTACATCGTAGTTGGAGAACTTGCATGCCTATTGGTCTTCTTTGTTTAGTTGGGCTTCCAGTGTGACAACGAAAGCTTTCTGTTGTTACCTTGTGACCATTTCTGTTTTATAAATTCTTGGAAAATATTCCCACAGATACCCTGAGTGGGATGGAGAGCTACCACGATTTCCCAGGTAAATTCTTTTGATAAGGACCAAAATACTAAAGAAATTGTCCAATGAAAATTTGCATTTCTTTTTTCTTCATGAACTGTTTTACTTGTTATCTGCTTTTGTAGTGCCTTAAGTAGAAGTGCTGAGACTCCACCACCAACTTCTGCCCATATTTCCCAACATCACCAAAAAGCTGGCCATGAGAGTTCTTGTTCCCGCTCGCACAGTCCCTACAGCTCAGGAAATAGATATAGGAAATCTAGAAGTAGCTCCAGTTCTTGCTCATCTGGATATCGCCAACACAGGTCAAGAGATAGAAGGGTCAAATCCTGCAGCTCCGGTTCTCGATCCTGCTCACGTAGCCCTCGAAGACGTCGATCAAGAGAAAGAAGGGCCAAACCCCACAGCTCCATTTCTCGATCCTGCTCACGTAGCCCTCGAAGATGTAGTTCAAGAGAAAGAAGGCCCAAACCCCGCAGCTCCATTTCTCGATCCTGCTCACGTAGCCCTCGAAGATGTAGTTCAAGAGAAAGAAGGCCCAAACCCCGCAGCTCCAGTTCTCGATCCCGCTCACACAGCCCTCAGAGACGCAGTCCAAGAAATAGAAGGGACAAATCAAGTAGTAATTCTCGCTCATCCAGCCCTCACCGGCAATACCGCACTGAAGGTCAAAAAGGGAAATATGGAAAAGGACCACGATCACCTCACAGAGCCATCTATAGAATACGGTTTGTGGTTTGATGTTAAGACATTTTGTTTAACCTTGATTCTGCTATATGTGTGATGACTGCTTTCCTTCTTCCTGTTATAGATCACGTTCAGCTAGCCCTGAAAGGCAGTCATCACCAAGAAGAACTTACAGGAAACTTCAGCACCCTGAGACGTTGAAGCCAAGAAATTACAAAAGACCGTCACCAACCAGCTTTAAGCAACAGTTGTCATCAAGAAGAGACGAGGAGAAACACCTGCAGCCAAAAAAGAGTGACGAGGACTCTGCATCGTTCAAAGGTAGCCGTAAAAGACGGATGTCCCTAGAGGAATCATCCTCCAACAAAAAGAAGTTGCCTGGTATTAAAAAGTTGACGGACCTTCTCCTTGAAAATCCAGGTATGAAGATTTGCTACCTTTTTTTTTTTTTACTTAAAGGTATAGCAATCGATGTTTCTGAATTTCTGGAAAGAACCGCCCTCTCCACATTGCGCAACACTCTCCCAGCGCCTGTTTACAAGTAGCTGCCGGCCGTAATGTGTAAGAAGAGGCTCTGAAAATAGCATGCAGAACGTTAGCTTACGTCTCGAGCAGAAAACCGGCAACAGCGGCGTCTGTGGGGAGCGGACTGGACCGCGTAGCCTCTTCCTGATTTCCATGAGAGTGTGGGGGTGCACAGAGTACGCATGCGCAGGAAGTGAAAACTAGCCCAGGATTGGCTTCACCAGAAATTGACATTTTTGCGGACCAATGGTTGACGTGATCCACCCGGAAGAAAAACATTGATTGCCTTACCTTTAATGCCATAAAGTAGGTAAACAAGGATTTACAAGCATAGTAATCCGAATCCAAAGTAACTTGGTTTGGTGGAAGTAGTCCAGTAGAAGACTAGGGCTGCAGCTACTTATTTAAATAATTCATTAATTTGCCAAAATAATCAATCAATTAATTGAATAATCAGATAAGCTTTTATATTTCCTTTGCTTTGAAAATATGATGGCGTTGTAAAGGAGTGGTTCCAGCTGTAAAAAACAAGTCAAGAACCAGAATATTTCTACTACATGCATTCATTTTAACTCCTTTTCATTTGCTGCCTGCTGCCATCAGTTATTTTTCTATAAGTGTTTATGTGTTGAGTGAAAACAATGTAAATATAAACAGTTTAGAGAAAATTAAAATTTAAACAATTTAAAAAAAATTCTAAGCAAAATCTCTGAGAGTTGTTAGACTCGTGTAGATAAAGAGACAGGTTACATTTAGTTAAAATCTGGAAAGACTTGAGCATTTATGAAAAATTCTTTTTAGGGGTAAATTTCACACACTAAAGTCGTCGTCGTCGTCTTCCTCCGCTTATCCGGGTCCGGGTCGCGGGGGCAGCATCCCAACTAGGGAGCTCCAGCCCGTCCTCTCCCCGGCCACCTCCACCAGCTCCTCCGGCAGGACTCCAAGGCGTTCCCGGACCAGATTAGAGATGTAACCTCTCCAACGTGTCCTGGGTCGACCCGGGGGCCTCCTGCCGGCAGGACATACCCGAAACACCTCCCCAGGGAGGCGTCCAGGAGGCATCCTGACCAGATGCCCAAACCACCTCAACTGACTCCTATCGATCCGGAGGAGCAGCGGTTCTACTCTGAGCCCCTCCCGAATGTCCGAGCTCCTCACCCTATCTCTAAGGCTGAGCCCGGCCACCCTACGGAGGAAACTCATTTCGGCCGCTTGCATCCGCGATCTCGTTCTTTCGGTCATTACCCAAAGCTCATGACCTTAGGTGAGGATTGGGACGTAGATCGACCGGTAAATCGAGAGCCTGGCTTTCTGGCTCAGCTCCCTCTTCACCATGACAGATTGGCTCAGTGTCCGCATCACTGCAGACGCTGAACCAATCCGCCTGTCGATCTCGTGAACAAGACCTCGAGATACTTAAACTCCTCCACTTGAGGTAGGACCTCTCTCCCGACCCGGAGTTGGCAAGCCACCCTTTTCCGGTCGAGAACATGGTCTCAGATTTGGAGGTGCTGATCCTCATCCCACATCCACACACTAAAGTAAAAATTTTTATTTATTTTATATTAAAGCATTTCAGTCATAAATGAGGAAAATTTTGGACATTTTTGTTACAATGACAAAAACCAAGTAAATGTACTTTTGACTCAATTTTTTTTTTCCTTCCAGTTGTCCAGTCTCTGTCAGGAAAGCCAGACATCAAGGATGTGGTTGAACGGATGGTTCCTTTTGTTTTGGCTGAATTAGCCAACAATACGACTTCTTCATCATTACCATCCTCCTCCTCATCAGTTCCCTCACAGGATAAAAAGAGAAATGCTTCACCCTCTTCGTATGGTGGAAGTAACTCCTCATTCTCCTCTAAAATATCAAAGAAGCATCCTACTATCCAGAAGTCTGAGAGAAGCTCATCTTCTAAATCCAAGGTTGGTGTTTTTGAACATCCAGCTCCTATCTGGTAATGGTGACTGCTACACTCGATTTTATTTATTTTTTATTGTTTTTTCTTTTATTTTCTCAGACGGTTGCTTATGATAAGCCTTCACCTCCAACTATAGTGAAACTCAAAGGGGTGTTTGATCTTCTCTCTCACAATGATGTGGTTGCTGCTGTGAAGCCCTTTGGAAAAACCAAATCAGTCTTGCTGCTGAAATCTAAACAGGAGGTCAGTAAGTGAAAAACAAGCATAGCCAATTCTTTTTTTCCCTTCTCATTACCTAAATGTCTTTTACGGGACAACAAAGAGAAAGCAAAATTCCCTAAAAACGCAGGCTTTAAGTACTATGTTTGCATTGGATTTTACCATTTTAACCCATAATGCTTTGATGGTTTCCCCCTACTAAGAATTATATGCACTAGTTAGTAAGATAGGAAAATCAGGATTTGAGTTAATTTATGTGTGTGTGTGTGTGTGTGTATACCGTAAATCCTCTAATACAGGCCTGGGCCTGTATTTGACTCAAGCTCATCAAGCTCCAGGCCTTTATTGGAAGGAGGGCCAGAATTAGAGGCAGGACTAAATTTCTATTTGAGTTTGGTTGGTTTGCTGGAGTTTTGGAAAATTAAAATTGCACCTACATTTTCAAAGTTAAACACATTTCTTTTAACAACGGTAGTTTCTGCTTCAGCCCTCTCCCCCTCCCCCTGCGCAGCGGCTACAAACTCACTGATGCGTCTGCAGCCTCTCGGAGTTCCTGCTGCTCTAAACATTAAAATAATTATTTCATTTTCTGTTACTTCTGATTACTTTCAATGGTGTCTGTTTGTTGGTACCAGGTACAAAAACAAACCTGTTTATTTATTTGACTATTTTTCTGTCCTGTATCTGTTTATTATCTTCCTGCATCTCCTCTCAATCCTAAAGAAAAACTGCTACCTGGGTTCATATATATTCACCTCATGAGTTACCTTTGAACTGCAGTTCTAAAAGATCTACCGACTGCAAAAACAGCGGAGTGCGTGCTGCTCGCCGGCCGCACCGGTGAGGTGCATCACCGGAGGACAAGGTGATGCGCACCGCTCCACAGCAGCGAAAAGCATCAGACACAAATAAAAGACAGAAAACATAAAAGGAAATGAGCCGATCACGTGTTAAATTAGTTTTTGAGGTGGTGACACCTGATTTGATAACGTTACTGTGGCCGTGCTCAGGACGCAGATGTCTGGAGCGCGTCAACAATCAGAGCTTTGCATGCGCAAGCTGGTTAAGGTTAGGATGGGGTGAGGGGAAGGTTAAATTGCAAGAGGGTAAAGGTCACAATTTGGTTAAATGTCCGTTTTACGGCGGGTGTCAGTGCCGACGCTCTGACACAGTGCGTTGCCTCCCGACGCGCAGGAGCTTGTCATCTGCTGACAGTAGGCTGCTGTCTTTTCCGAGGACTGCATCTTGCCGGTCATTATCACGTGACAGCGACTAGTCGATGACAGGCATAAAAAGTCACTATGACCATGGCTGTGCTGATAGCCCCTGTGAGCTTCACTGTGGAGCTACTCTCTTGGTTTTGCCAGGAAGCTGCACTAATTATGTGGGGAATAATTATGTTTTTTCTAGGTGGATCCAGAGATACAGCGAATTACAAGGGAAATAATCCCAGCTGCACATGCACCATCACCTGTGTCTCCGGATATTGTAACTTATGTGTGCACTGTGAAACTCAGGGGACGAGAGATGGGTCCGGTGAAAACGGTAGCTCTTCAATGTGAGCATTCTGCAATGATTGAAAACTGCGTATGTTGCAGGCTTGTTACGGAAATTCAGACCAAATGGAGCCGGGACCCCCAGGGAAGATTATTCAGGAAGCCGATGTGCACATCCCAACTTCACCTGATGTCCAAGAACTTTTCGAAGGAGGCCACGAGGACTCGCTGGTAACGATGAATCCAGTCAAAGTGGCTGAAGACGTGGCGGATTTGGAAAAATCTTGCCAAGAAGACGTGGCGGATTTGGAAAAATCTTGCCAAGAAGACGAGGCGGATTTGGAAAAATCTTGCCAAGAAGACGAGGCGGATTTGGAAAAATCTTGCCAAGAAGACGTGGCGGATTTGGAAAAATCTTGCCAAGAAGACGAGGCGGATTTGGAAAAATCTTGCCAAGAAGACGTGGCGGATCTGGAAAAATCTTGCCAAGAAGACGTGGCGGATTTGGAAAAATCTTGCCAAGCAGAGGAGGCTGTATCAGTAATGAGCACAGTTTCAAATCAAGATCCAAACCCAGATGAAACGTATATAATCCCAATGATTTCTCATGATAAAGCACAAGCAGACTCCCCTGTTCAGCGGACCTCGAAAGGAGAGCTGAAATGGAAGATCAAGTTTCACGGGGGAAGTTATTATATAGGTCAGAGCAAGCCCTTGGATTGTTATCAGTTTATGAATATGTTGTGTGTAAAAGATGGATGGTTTGACCCAGAGATCAAAGTATCTACTGGAACAGCCCCTCTGTTGGAGATGAAGAATAACCCCTTGGTTTTTAGCGCAAGCTTTCCACCAAACATGCTGGGCAGACTCCCGTCTAGGGAACATCAGGTCACGGACCTGTCATTATTCTACCTTGGAGAAGATGTTCTGGAAGATAGAAAGAAGTTTCGAGGTTATGCAACCACCCATAAGGGAACCCTGAGCATGCCTATTGCTGACGATGGCATAATGTTGAGGAGAAGAGTCGATGTGGAGGCCACAGTTCAAGCGATGCGCATGCAGCCGGATCTGGAGAAGTTGGACATGCGGTTCCTGAGGGCTTGTGTATTCGCATTGAAATATTACGGTCCCCTGCTGCACTTCAACTCGCAAAGGGGCTGTTGCAAGCCCCCGCATGCCAGAACCACAGGAGGTAATAAGGGAGGTCACAACAGAAGAGGTCACAAAGGAAGAGGTCACAAGGGAAGCAAAGATAAGTGGGAGCCTGCTGATGCGAGTGGAATCGAGGCAGGTGAAAACGAGAAGTGGACCAACTGAAGGAAGCATCACAGGATGCGAAGTCCTCCGTGGGAGAGTTTGAACTTTGGGTGAACCTGAAACCATCTTGCAAATTATAATGATCACGTTGTTTTGCTGTTTTGTCATTGGCTGATATGTAATGCAAATTGCTTCACTCTAAAAAGTGCTTGCAACATGAAAATGCTATACAATGGAAAATGCTTTGCTTTGCAGTTTTTAGAATGATATATAAAAGCAGTTAGAAGTACAGGTGCTGGCCAGTAAATTAGAATATCATCAAAAGGTTGAAAATATTTCAGTAATTCCATTCAAAACGTGAAACTTGTACATTATATTCATGCAATGCACACAGACCAATGTATTTCCGATGTTTATTACGTTTAATTTTGATATTTATAGGTGACAACCAATGAAAACATCAAATCTGGTATCTCAGAAAATTAGAATATTATAAAGGCCAATGAAAAAATGTTTGTTTCTCTAATGTTGGCCAACTGAAAAGAATGAACATGAAAAGAATGTGCATGTATAGCACTCAATACTTAGTCGGGGCTCCTTTTGCCTCAAAAACTGCAGTAATGCGGCGTGGCATGGACTCGATCAGTCTGTGGCACTGCTCAGGTGTTATGAGAGCCCAGGTTGCTCTGATAGTCGTCTTCAGCTCCTCTGCATTGTTGGGTCTAGCGTATTGCATCCTCCGCTTCACAATACCCCATAGATTTTCTATGGGGTTAAGGTCAGGCGAGTTTGCTGGCCAATCAAGGACAGGGATACCATGGTCCTTGAACCAGGTGCTGGTGGTTTTGGCACTGTGTGCAGGTGCCAAGTCCTGTTGAAAGGTGAAGTCTGCATCCCCATAAAGTTGGTCAGCAGCAGGAAGCATGAAGTGCTCTAAAACTTCCTGGTAGACGGCTGCATTGACCCTGGACCTCAGGAAACAGAGTGGGCCAACACCGGCAGATGACATGGCACCCCACACCATCACTGACGGTGGAAACTTTACACTGGACCTCATGCAACGTGGATTCTGTGCTTCTCCGCTCTTCCTCCAGACTCTGGGTCCTTGATTTCCAAAGGAAATGCAGAACTTGCTTTCATCAGAAAACATAACTTTGGACCACTCAGCATCAGTCCAGTCCTTTTTGTCCTTGGCCCAGGCGAGACGCTTCTTGCGCTGTTTCTTGTTCAAGAGTGGCTTGACACACGGAATGCGACACCTGAATCCCATGTCTTTCATGAGTCTCCTCGTGGTGGTTCTTGAAGCGCTGACTCCAGCTGCAGTCCACTCTTTGTGGATCTCCCCCACATTTTTGAATGGGTTTGTCGTCACAATTCTCTGCAGGGTGCGGTTATCCCTAGAGCTTGTACACTTTTTTCTACCACATTTTATCCGTCCCTTCGCCTGTCTGTTAATGTGCTTGGACACAGAGCTCTGCGAACAGCCAGCTTCTTTAGCAATCACCTTTTGTGTCTTGCCCTCCTTGTGCAAGGTGTCAATGATTGTCTTTTGGACAGCTGTTAAGTCAGAAGTCTTCCCCATGATTGTGGTGCCTTCAAAACAAGACTGAGGGACCTTTTAAAGGCCTTTGCAGGTGTTTTGAGTAAATCAGCTGATTAGAGTGGCAGCAGGTGTCTTCTATATTCAGCCTTTTCAGAATATTCTAATTTTTTGAGATACCAAATTTGGAGTTTTCATTAGTTGTCACTTATGAATATCAAATTTAAATGTAATGAACATTGGAAATACATTGGTCTGTGTGCATTGCATGAATATAATGTACAAGTTTCACGTTTTGAATGGAATTACTGAAATATTTTCAACCTTTTGATGATATTCTAATTTACTGGCCAGCACCTGTAGTTAAAAAGAGTTGATGAGAGGAGTAAGAGAGAGCAATTGTTCTCAGGGAGAGATTTAGAAGCAGCATCCTCATAAAAGGGTGCCTTCACGCCTTCAAGCCATCCAAAATGCAGCAGCCAGACTCCTAACCAAATCCAGCAGACGAGCTCACATCACCCCAGTTTTACAGTCCCTCCACTGGCTCCCGGTAGAATTTAGAATACAGTTTAAAGTTTTAGTGCTGACCTATAGAGCTCTTAACAACCAGGCTCCAAGCTATTTATCTGAGCTTTTATCCCCACACACCACTTCACGGAACCTCCGATCCACATCTGAAAACCTCCTGGCTGTTCCTCGAACCAGACTAAAAACCAAAGCGGACAGGGCCTTTCAGTCTATTGCCCCCAGACTTTGGAACAGTCTGCCTTCAAATCTCCGTCTCTTGAAATCTGTAGAGGTCTTCAAAAAACATCTTAAAACTCACCTTTTCATCCAGGCTTTCCCCCGCTAAATATTCTAAAAGATGACTTTGTTCTTGTTCACACCTTGACTTTGTTTTTACTCCTGATTTTGGTTACTATTGTTGTCACTGCTATTGTTTTTATGATGTTTTTATTGGTTTGAGGTATTTGCCCTGATTTTACTCATGTTGTACAGCGCTTTGTGATTTATATCTGTGAAAGGCGCTATATAAATAAACTTTACTTACTTACTTACTTACTTTACGCTTTTTTGCATTTTTTGATTTTGAAATAAAATTTTTGGAAAAAGAATCCTCGTTCTCAATTCTTAAAGGACTCTTTTAGCCTTTGAGTGGGAGTTCAGACCAGATCTAGCAGCAGAGGTAAGCCACCTTATTTTCTTGTACCTGTACTCCAGGACTTGTAACAGGTTGTGACAGATAAGAAAAGATACCTTAGGTAATGAGAGCTTAGTCTCTCCTCCTTCCTAGGGTAGCGGGACATCCTAAGGGTAATAAACCATAATGGTTAGTTGGTTCAAACAGGCTCTGTTCTGCACGTGTGAATAAGTCTCTGGCCAGTGTGGGAAGGAACCATTTCAAAGGGTGGATCAATTAGATTAATTGATAAATCCATGTTAGCCTGATCACCTAATGAGAATAATTTTTCTAGTTACCACCGCCCACATATGCTGACAGAGGCGCAAATTAATCCTGATAGGACCCAAATAATAGTCAGCTGCATTGGCCTCCAGTAACCCTCGCCCTAGTACTCAAAACCACTGAGTAACTGGAACCTACAAAGAGGGTGTGTTGACACCTCGCGGTCTATCACTGGCAAATCAAAAGTGAGATGGATGACACAACTGCCCCCCTGTGGTACTTGCTTGTTACCACATTCCACCCAGCCACAATAAAAACCGGCCATTCTTCACCTCCGCCAACTCCAACACCGGCCAAAATGTGATACCCGGCCATTAATTGAATACAGGCCAATATTAGAGGATTTACGGTATATATATATATATATATATATATATATATATATATATATATATATATATATATATATATATATATATATAATATAATATAATTAGTGGTGGGCATAAATAAATTTTTTTAATCTAGATTAATCTCACTGTAATCTTGGAATTAATCTAGATTAAAATGGCTCATTCAAATTCGGCCAAAGGCATATGTGTGTGCTACCTAGATAATGAATAAAAGCAAGTCTTTGAGAATGGAGGCGTATTTCTTGTTTCAGTAATGCATCACAGACTGATAAAGCAGTTTTACTACGATAACTGATGATGAAAATAAATAATGATCAATAAGTATTTGTGTTTAATAGCTGCTTATTCAGTTCAACAAATTCTGCACTGTAGCTCAACAGAATAGGTCATGATTAACTATTTACAGTCAGTAGCATTTGGTCAATCAGTCCAAGCTCTATTTCTCCTTCTTCCACCAGTCACTCAAGCAGACCAGCTTGTTCACATTGTCTGGTGACAAACTAGATCTTCTCTTCTCCACAATATGGCCTGCTAAAGAAAAAAGTGTATATATATATATATATATATACACACACACATACATACAGACATACATACATACACACACACAAACTATCTGGCCTGGGGAGGGGGTTAAATTTCTGGGGTGCCCTTCCTAAGCCCCCCTTTAGTTTGCATGTAGGATCGCCTCTGGTGAATAGGAGCGAGAGCTGGAAATGATGCCACAGCTCACCTGAATGAGCAGAATCCAACTGTTGCTGTTGTTGTCTCTGAAAACGGCAAGGTTAGTTATCCTAGCTCAACTTTTCTTAACAAATATAAAAATTTATGAGTAAAACGTTTATTATTACAGGTGAATTTGAGTCGAAGCCACATGAACAATGACCTGTAGAAACAATTTATCACTTTATCACAATAAACAGCTGCTAAAATAGCTAAACTTAGTTGGAAACCGCACCTGTCTGAGAAAGTCTTGTCTCGGTTCTCTCACATCCGAGCGCTGCTTCTGCCGCGGACGGTGAAGTGTGGCCCGGGGAAAGCCCGGCTGGAAATGTCGGAGGTAAACAAAACAAAATAAAAAGAATGAAAGTCGGATTTATGGATTAAACTCTGGTTAAAGTACATAAATGATTTACTTTTCCCGCGCGATGAGAAGGGAGAAGCGCTGCTGGTGGCGACGGTGCGACTGTTCGGCTGCATGGGGAACATTAAACTCCGCGAGCCTGGCGTCCGTCCATACCATCGGTCCATACCGTATATTATGTCGATGGTCCATACGTACGATGATCCGCGCCGAGTATACATCCGCGCCAACCAGGTATCCATCTGCGCAATGTGAAAGTCATCACAGTTTACTTAGTATAGACCCAGATCCCAACCCAACTTTGAGAATAGATTAACGGTGTCATTTTTTTTTATCGCGCGATAAGAGTCTGGCTTTGCCGCAGTACGTTAACGCCGATAACGGCCCACCCCTAATATATATATAAATTTATATATACATATATACAAATATATATACATATATACACATATATATATACATCTATATACACACACATATAAATATATATATTTATATATATATATTTATATATATATATATATATATATATATATATATATATATATATATATATATATATATATATACATATATATGAATATATGTGTATACAGGTGCTGGCCAGTAAATTAGAATATCATCAAAAGGTTGAAAATATTTCAGTAATTCCATTCAAAACGTGAAACTTGTACATTATATTCATGCAATGCACACAGACCAATGTATTTCCAATGTTCATTACATTTAAATTTGATATTCATAAGTGACAACTAATGAAAACTCCAAATTTGGTATCTCAAAAAATTAGAATATTCTGAAAAGGCTGAATATAGAAGACACCTGCTGCCACTCTAATCAGCTGATTTACTCAAAACACCTGCAAAGGCCTTTAAAAGGTCCCTCAGTCTTGTTTTGAAGGCACCACAATCATGGGGAAGACTTCTGACTTAACAGCTGTCCAAAAGACAATCATTGACACCTTGCACAAGGAGGGCAAGACACAAAAGGTGATTGCTAAAGAAGCTGGCTGTTCGCAGAGCTCTGTGTCCAAGCACATTAACAGACAGGCGAAGGGACGGAAAAAATGTGGTAGAAAAAAGTGTACAAGCTCTAGGGATAACCGCACCCTGCAGAGAATTGTGACGACAAACCCATTCAAAAATGTGGGGGAGATCCACAAAGAGTGGACTGCAGCTGGAGTCAGCGCTTCAAGAACCACCACGAGGAGACTCATGAAAGACATGGGATTCAGGTGTCGCATTCCGTGTGTCAAGCCACTCTTGAACAAGAAACAGCGCAAGAAGCGTCTCGCCTGGGCCAAGGACAAAAAGGACTGGACTGATGCTGAGTGGTCCAAAGTTATGTTTTCTGATGAAAGCAAGTTCTGCATTTCCTTTGGAAATCAAGGACCCAGAGTCTGGAGGAAGAGCGGAGAAGCACAGAATCCACGTTGCATGAGGTCCAGTGTAAAGTTTCCACCGTCAGTGATGGTGTGGGGTGCCATGTCATCTGCCGGTGTTGGCCCACTCTGTTTCCTGAGGTCCAGGGTCAATGCAGCCGTCTACCAGGAAGTTTTAGAGCACTTCATGCTTCCTGCTGCTGACCAACTTTATGGGGATGCAGACTTCACCTTTCAACAGGACTTGGCACCTGCACACAGTGCCAAAACCACCAGCACCTGGTTCAAGGACCATGGTATCCCTGTCCTTGATTGGCCAGCAAACTCGCCTGACCTTAACCCCATAGAAAATCTATGGGGTATTGTGAAGCGGAGGATGCAATACGCTAGACCCAACAATGCAGAGGAGCTGAAGACGACTATCAGAGCAACCTGGGCTCTCATAACACCTGAGCAGTGCCACAGACTGATCGAGTCCATGCCACGCCGCATTACTGCAGTTATTGAGGCAAAAGGAGCCCCGACTAAGTATTGAGTGCTATACATGCACATTCTTTTCATGTTCATTCTTTTCAGTTGGCCAACATTAGAGAAACAAACATTTTTTCATTGGCCTTTAGAATATTCTAATTGTCTGAGATACCAGATTTGATGTTTTCATTGGTTGTCACCTATAAATATCAAAATTAAACGTAATAAACATCGGAAATACATTGGTCTGTGTGCATTGCATGAATATAATGTACAAGTTTCACGTTTTGAATGGAATTACTGAAATATTTTCAACCTTTTGATGATATTCTAATTTACTGGCCAGCACCTGTATATGTGTATATATATTTGTATATGTACATATGTATAATATATATATATGTATATATGTGTATATATATATATATATATATATATTGTGTGTGTGTCTTTTTTCTGTCACAGTAATTTTTTTACGCTTCTGAGACAACCCAACAAAATGTAAAAATAATTACTTTAATGTCCAAGAAGACGACGTTAAAGAAATTAACCAACATTATTTATGTGACAAGATTAACACACATTAACAGTATGCAGAATTAAAAACAAAAAGATAATAAAAATACATAATAATACATACGTGCTGTACAAATAAGGAGAGGAATAATCTTGACATTTTCAAAAGGTTTTGTCATCAGCACATTTATTTATCATGAAAAGTGAACATAAAATAAATTTGTTGCACAAAACCACTGGTATGTTTTATGCTGTTCATGCATTTCAGTAAACAAATGTTTAATTTGTATGTGTCCATTTAGGCAACTGTATGTTTTGAAAAAGAGAAAAATGCTGAAAAACTGAGGAGTGTGAAGAGCATTGATGTGAAAGGAGTGACCCTCACTGTTGTTCCGAAAAGGGTAACGTTTGTCTTTTTGACTCAAAAGTGCATACATTGCTTCTGTAGCTTTTACTGTTAATCATGTAATCAATCTATGATAAATACATTTACAGGGCAGTGTTCCTAAGAGTGTGTCTCCTGCTTCTACAGAGGATCAGATAAAACAAACTAAAGAGTAAGTTATGGAAATCAAAATTTTAATTTATTGTACCTACCTAGCCTGTCAAGCCATCCTGTATATGTGAATATATAGTCTGGCCATGACCCAGACTGATCTTCGTCGTGGGATGGAATCTACAGTTGTCTATTAAACTGTCTCTGCACGCTATTGGACAATGAACAATGTGACCTACTCACAGCCACAGATGTCAATCATCAGGGCAGTCCACCATACTCAGTCAAGAAAGATGTAAATACATCTTTTTTCTAAATAAAGGACTTAAGTGCCTCAGGGCTGTCAGTTAGAACTTTTCAATTCGGGGGGGGGGGGGGGGGGGTACGTGGACCATTTTGCCCCGTCTGCCGACCGAGGAGGAGTACGTAAACGTTGGCTCCGTAAGCTTACCGTGATAGCAGGGGAATCCAGCAATGCAAATTAATTTTGCTCATGCTACTGTCTAGATTTCTAGGCCAGTACCTATTGTCAAAATTCCACGCTTCTTAACATGTACTGATTTTCAAGACCATTTTAGGTTTTCAATTTTCAATAATCTCACTTTGGAGTTTAACACGTTTTTGTGCTTAATGGGGTCAGTCATGTTTCTTCCCTTTTCATCATGACCAGGGGTCTCATTTATCAAACATTGTGTAGAATCCTTACTAAAACCGTACTTAAGCTCAGCAAAAAATAATGTACCTACGCCAAGTAGGTTTGTGATCTATCAAACATGGAGTACGCACAGCTGCACGCAATCTCCGCTTCATAAATCAGAGACTAACGAGAAAGTTTCTCAGCTGCTTTTTAGTCACATCCCGCCCTCACCACGCCCACTTACTGCCATAAATAGTCAATGCAAAGTGCCTTGTGGACCTCATGCATTTACATAAGCCGGCTGTTGCAGCGCTCCGCCAATGACATGGCGACCGTAGATCAAGGCAGCGCTATTTCACAAGCAGAAATTGAGGTACCTGTGGGTGAGGTGGACAAATGAAAGGAAGTACTTTTGAAAAACAAATAAGAGAAAATCCACGGAGTGGCACAGCGTTGCTGAAGCCGTCAATGTTGTGAGTCCTTTAGAGAGATCTGTGGCAGATATAAAAAAAGTTTATCCAATTGGGATTCAATCCCCAGACTCCCGGGTGAGAGTCCCACGTGTGAACCAGTCAGCCAAAGAGACATCTCCCTTGTCCAAGTAGTCTGGGTGCATGATCAATCGGGTCCCAGTGACAGGACGCTCACAATGTCACAGACGCATGACATTCTGTCTTAATTCTGCCCCCTGCTAATATTCAGCATTCCATATTCTGCGCTTCAGGCTGTGTGTGTGTGCGTGCGTGCGTGCATGTGTGTGTGCGTGCGTGCGGGGGGTTGCTTGTTCTGTGTGCGCACAAAGTAGTACAAGTGATAATGCTGCTGGAATTCATAGTTGTACCCTTCTCAGCAGCAGCACTGCAGGTGCTCTCCATGTCCAAAATGTGCGCAAGCAAGGTCCTTAGTCAACTTAAAGTTGCACACATTTTTCCGCTAAGTTTTCTTTCATAAATCACAAAGTTTGCTTGGAAAGTTGCTTAAGCAGTTTTCCGAACACTTGGTTCAAATCCCATCGATCCATCTTCTTCCGCTTAACTGAGGTTGGGTCACGGGGACAGCAGCCTGAGGAGAGAGGCCCAGACTTCCCTCTCCCCAGCCATTCGGGCCAGCTCCTCTGGGGGAATTTGAAGGCATTCCCTGGCCAACCGAAAGATATAGACCCTCTATTGTGTCCTAGGTCCCCCCCGGGTCTTCTTCTGTATGGATGTGCTTGGAAAACCTAATCAGGGAGGTGTCCTGGAGACATCCTAATTAGAATCCTGAGCCTCCTCAACTGACATCTCAATGTGGACAAGCAGCTTACCTACTCTGAGTTCCCCCAGGATGGCCAGGCTTCTCACCCTATCTCTAAGGGAGAGCCCAGCCACCCTGTAGAGAAAGCTAATTTTAGCCACTACAAAGCTCACAAACATAGATGTGGGTAGGAACATAGATCAACTGGTAAATGAAGAGCTTCGCCTTTCAACTCAGCTCTCTTTTCACCATGACAGTCCGGTACAATGCCTACATCACTGCAGACGCAGCACCGATCTGCCTATCGATATCGCGCTCCATTTTTCCCTCACTCAGGAACAAGACCCCAAGATACTTAAACTCCTCCACTTGAGGCAGGACCTAATCCCTGACTTGGAGAAGGCTTTCTACCCTCTTCCGGCTCAAGACCGTGGTTTCAGATTTAGCGGAGCTGATTCTCATTCTCTCTCATCACACTGATGAAACCAACAGGACAACATCATCTGCAAAATGCAGAGACCCGATTGTCAGGCCACCAAACTATTTCCCCTAAACACCTTGGCTACATCTAGAAATCCTGTCCATAAAAGTTATGAACAGAATTGGTGATAAAGGACAGCCTTGGCAGAGTCCAACTCTCACCAGAAATGAGTCCAACTTACTTCCGGCAATGTGGACCGTGCTTTGAAACCAATTATATGGGGACCTAACAGTCCATGTCAGAGGGCCTGGTGCCCAAAGCACCCAAACATGGCCCCCCAAGAGACACGGTTGAATGCCTTCTCCAGATCCACTAAACACATGTAGAATGGTTGGGCAAACTCCCACGCACCCTCCAGGACTCCCCTAAGGGTATAGAGCTGGTCCAGTGTTCCACGGCCAGAAATAAAACTACATTGCTCCTCCTTAATCTGAGGTTCAACAATCTGACGGACTCTCCTCTCCAGAACCCCTGAATAGACCTTACCAGGGTGGCTCAGGAGTGAGACCCCCTGTAGTTGGAACACATCCTGCGGCCCCTCTTTTTAAAAAGGGGACCACCACCCCAGTCTGCCAATTCAGTGGAACTGCCTCCGATGCCCACGCGATACTGCTGAGCCACGTCAGCCAACAACATTCAGAGCCTTAAGGAAACTCCATGCAGATCTCATTTACCTCTGGGGCACTGCCACTGAGGAGCTTTTTGACCACCTCCGTGACCTCAGCCCCAGAGATTGGAGAGCCCAATTTAAAGTTCTCAGACCCTGCTTCCTCACTGGAAGACGTGCCGGTGTTATTGAGGAGATCTTCAAAGTACTCCGCCCACCAATTCACAACGTCCCAAGTCAAGGTCAGCAGCACACCGTCCTCACTATAAACAGTGTTGGTAGCATACTGCTTTTCCCTCCTGAGACACCAGATGGTGGACCAGAGTCTCCTCAAAGCTGTAAAAAAGTCTTGCTCCATGGTCTCGCCGAACTCCTCCCATGCCCGGCTGCAGGTAACTATCAGCTGCCTCTGGAATCCCACAGGCCAAAAAGACCTGATAGGACTCTTTTTTTTTTTTGTCAGCCGTCAGTTCGACGGCATTCCTAACCATCACAACAGTGAGTTTGGGGAATGCTGCCACCATGGGCACTGATGTTCAAATTGCATTTCACCATTTTCACATTTCCTGTCCCCATGTGAAGATTGGGATGTCCAAAAATGTTTGTGCGGGTTTTAGGGGTAGGCTTATGAACAGACACCATTCAGCGAATAAATATTAAACTAATTTCTTCATTTCTTTCTCATTTACCTTTATTTTCCAGGAAATCCACCGTGCCCAGTGAGTCATGTTCTGCTGAAAAGTTAGTTCTACTCCAAGGAACATCACCTGTATATTTACCAGCCGAACCCAAACCAACAACTTCATTCAAAAAGAAGAAAAAAGTCTTGGCTACCAAAGGAAAAGATGAAGTGGCTGTAAAAAGAGCAGTGAAAGACGGCAAAGAGGAAGATGGATGTTCTGGTGTTAAGCTGAAGAACCCAGCCAAAGTTAAAAAGAACCTGATTGTCACTAAGGCAAAGCGCAATGCTTTAAAATCACATAAAACTGTACAAACAGCAACTGTGATGAAGAAACGGAGAGTAAAAACTGCCAATTCTGCTGAAGCTGAAAAGTCTATGAAAGTTGAGTTAAGTAGAAGTCAGTCACTCATCGGTGAGACAGCTGAAGAGGCCGCAGTGCCATCAGAACCCACATCATCAATAAACCAGCCGGATGGCTCCAGGACTCCCATTACGGACAACATTACAGAACCGCTGCTCGTCAGGCAGGTCTCAATACCAGATTCATCTGCTGAAAACCCAACGGTTGACCCAAAGACTTCTGGAAGCTCAGCTAGCGCTGCTTTGGAGCCCCCCCTGATTGTCATAGAGGTGCACACAAAAACAAATCCTACAGGTATGTGTGACGGTGCTTCCCTTTGATTTGTCAATCCTATCGTCCATCTAACATTAAAATCATCTTTAAATGCGTTAACATGTAGATATGACAAAGGGTCTCCATAGCAACATCCCTGACTTGTCAATGCTATGTTTTTTTTGTATGAAATTTTGATTAAGAGGGATGACGAATGAGTGCTTGGCTTAGTCCGAATTCAGGGGTAGCATCCTTGTAAGGAGTCATCCTACCCAATCCACATAGGTTGGATTCTTCCATGACCGTTAAGAACAGTAAAGAGTGGCCTCAAATTTTGACGGTTGGGCCTTCATATTTTTCCCACTCCTAACTAGGCGTGTGTCCTGTTGTAAATCTGCAGAGATGATACTAAATTGAAGAAATACCAGTTCTGTCATACAAGATCACTTAAGAGGAGTTTTGTATTTTAGACCTTGCACACATGTAGTCACATATCCCACAAAACGAAGATATTGTTCTACGGTTTGGCCTGTCATCTACATAAAAGTGAAGATATGCCGCACCAAAACAAAAGACTCCAACAAAATCAAAATTAAACTTAGCTGCAGTACACAAAAAGGTACGGGACCCATCATACAAGCTTTTTTCTGAACATTTTTCTTATTATTTATGACGTATATTTAATAAAAACCAAAAAATAAAGAAAAAAGCCAAATAACAAAAGCGCTTTAAAGAGCAAGTCACCCCCAACCAGAGTCTAATCCTCCCCCACTTCCTGTTTGAAAATAGCAACAAATGCTGTTGCCTGGCTGTTGCTGCTAATAAATACACACACACACAAGCTCACAATGACACTGTGACATCATAATGTACCAGCCAATGTCATAGTGTACCTCGTAGCCAATAGCGATGGAAGATTTAAATTCAAATGTAGTGCAGAATTTTTACTTGAAGACAGTTCAACACTTACAGTTTTAGGCAGAATATTTCAATTTTAACTAAGATGCACTAAAGTGCCAAATTATTTAACTGCACATGTCTTCAGCATGATTAGACACTCATTTATGTAGTTTATCAGCAAACAAATGTTGATTTGGGGGTGACTTGCTTTTTAAGTTTATCGAGTGGAGAAGATTGAAAGTTAGTTGATCTAAGGTAGTTGGAGGCATCACACCAGGCCCGACCTGAAAGGGAAATTTTTTACCAGAATACCTAAAAACACATCATGTTGCATCATTACGTTTCAATGTTCAAGTAAGAGAATAAACAAAAATGGAAAATAGCCAATGAATAGTTACATAACAATGCAAATATTCTCCGATTTTGTACGAAAATTGTGTGTTGTTTACAATACCGCGACCGGTGTTGGGAGTAACGCGGTACAAAAGTAATTAATTACTGTAATGCATTGCTTTTTGCTGTAATGTGGTAATGTAAGGCATTACAGGGAAAGAAAATGGTAATATTTACTTGGTACAATTGTCAGTAACGCGGTAATTACAATGCGCTTTTAAACCCAGAATCAAGATGTGGGTTTCTTAAAAATTACAATTGTGGAAAGCCCAAAATAAAGATCCAGTATCCACATATACGACGTCATTTATGAACTCAGCTTTGCGGGCATTCTATGAGCAGAGAGGACGCAGCGGTAATGGCTCAAACACTCCAGCTGTGTCCTGCGGCCGCTGATACATTCACAAAATCGCTCCACCAAAACAAAGTCATTCACTTGCGATCGTTCATATCAGCCCATATTCTCTGTACTTTCTGTACTTGTCTGACGTGCTTTGCCTCAGCTGAGTTCATAATCTGAGCGCCGGTGATTTCAACTCATTGCTGCTGGAGCGCAGTGCATATTAAGCTTTTTTTGCGTTCGGTAGATCCCTTTGGCTGATTAGTTAGAAAGTAGGAAATCTAGGAAACTGTTTTTCTGGAAGACGGAGAAAACATGCAGCATGCAGGAAGGTTAGAGAGAGAAAGGGCCGGAAATTATTTAAAAAAAAGTGCTTGAAAAGAAGAAAAGTAGGTAGATTTATCCCCAATACACATTTTTACCAGTGAAAAGCAATAATATATAAGCATTTAATATTTATACATGTGATAGAATCAGATAACCCCAGAAGTCAGTCCCACATCCAGGGCCGTATCAAGGAAATTTGGGGACCAAGGCATTATAGGCTTGGAGCCCCCACCACCTCACTTTCTGCTCAGTTAATATAAGATGGCAGCATGCTGAGAGTACAGATTGTTGTTGCTGTTATTTAATAAACAATCATTTTAAAGCACTGTTGTTATATCTGACTGTTTTTAACAGCAATCCTAGCTCAGACACCACATCACCTTCCTCTGGATGTGTCATGAGTTCACTGAGCATCACATGACCTAATTCATATTGAAATTGTTTTGGTGAAAGTAACAAAGTAATGCAAAAGTAGTGTAATGCCTTACATTTTAAAATCTGTAATATTGTAATGTAATCAATTACATTAAAATGAGGGTAACAAGTAATAAATAATGCATTACAGTTTTGAAGTAACTTGCACAACACTGACCGCGACCCATTTGTATAATTCTCCCCTCTGAAGATGCCATAGCTCATGGAGCAGAAACCAAACCAACGATGAAAACAACGGAACAGGCGCCCGCTACCGTTGCCACATTCACACCAGAGACCTTCCTGACTATTGGGGACAAGATAGAGTGGTACCTGAGTCCACATAAATTTAGTAAGTACCTCCAACATGTTTCTGTGTGACAATACCTTCGTTCTATCTTTCATTCTTATCTGCGTTCTGATTCTTCCAGACTGCGTCACTGCCCAAAGCATCCTGTCATCTGGAGTAAGTTTAACGGTTTTTTCCTTTGGTTTAAATTAACAATTTTTTTAAAATAAGTCTTATTTTTATGAGTGTTTCTTGCTTGTTTTTGCCTTAATAGTGAATTAAGGGTTGTATAATGGATTACCATTCAAAACCTTAATTTGAATAACTTGGTCAGACAATTTTTTTCTGCTACATTAGAAACAAAACACACATTTTTGAGATGTGTAAATGATTAAATGAAGTCATTAATTTAGGTTATTTTCTGATTATTTACACGAGACTTAAAGGGACGTTATGGAAGTTTGACAGCCAAAACATGTATAGAAATAATAAATGTCTTCTTCATACATTCTCCTGCAATGCCCTGGTCCTGTAGAATGAGCCCTGGCATTTTTACTGTGATTGCCTGTTTTTCTGTAAAATCGCAGAAAAAGAGCTGCTCGGGTCGAGCAGGCTGCTTCATGCGCGTTCACGCTCAGGCATAGCTCGTAGCATTTGCTATCAGTAGCTTTAGCAGCAGAGAGAGAGGTAGTGCCAACTCAGCGACTTTGTCGCTGTTCCTAACGCCTAGTGACGAACCTAGCTACATTTCTGAGGACCCTTAGCTACTTTCTGTAGAACTGTCTTCTAGATATTTCCTGCAAATTAGCAACAAAATAGCCATTTTCTCTTCTAACCGTTCTTTGGTTTGACGGTGTTTCAGGTGTTATCAAGGATATAAAAGTTACAGATATTTGAATGTTACTAGAGTGTAGCTCACCTTGTAAGATGTCTGACTCCCATGCAGGAGACCTGGGTTTGATTCTGGATGTGAACATAGTTTATTTAGAGTTTATTTTTTACATTAATGGTATATTTTTTTACAGTAAGATGCCCAAATTTTTATTTGAGGCTTGCCAAATGGCATTGGATTCACAGATAAAAAAGATGTGGGTTCAACTTTCATTTTGGAACAATTTTTCAAGCAAGGGAAGGGAATGATCTGAGCATGCAGGAGGACTGACCCATCATAAACCTTTGTCGGCTGTGCTGAAGAGAAAGGTACAGAACCAAATTATTTAATTAATTAGCTGCGTGTTCTCCTGTCCTCTGTCCTCCGAGCCACACACACACACACATACACACACACACACACGGGACTGTCTTGGCTGTTATTTTCGTTAAGCAGTGTGCACGTACAGCATGCGTGCCTCGTGCACGAGCCCACTATTGAAGCTGCCGTTACGCTTTTGGCCTGAGGGGGCAATCGCGAGCATAAAAATTCAAAAGTCCGTAAAGTCCCTTTAAAAATAAACTGAGAGTCATTTGTAGGTGGTTAGATCATTCTAGATAATTCTAACCTCTAAACTGCATTAACAGCCACTGTTTTCCTAATCCTGGAACCATAATTTACATTATGTGTTTTTTAAATTTAAAGGTTTTTACATTTGACTCAACTCTGCTGTTAATAACAAACCTGCCGGAGAAAGCCCTCTTCACTGAGGCCGACCTTGTAAATCTGCTGAGCAGGTTTGGTTTGGAGAACGAACACGACAACATCTACATCTTCCCTCAGCTCCACATGGTAAGAGGCTGGTTGTGATTGTTCACCAGCTGATCAGGTGTTTTTATATCAAGTCATTAGATGATGTCTGGGTTAAACTTGTTTTAATTTGACTCTGTATCCTATGAGTGATGATACTGATAAGTTTGTCTTCTCTGATTTTCCTCGCAGGCTTTTGCCCTCATGCCAAATGAGCATTCAGTGAGGTCCATTTTAAAAGCATCGGTGAACAACCACCTCTTCTTCAGACAGAATAAACTCTTTTTACACGTTGTGAAAAATGACATTTTAATGACTCCGGTAAGCTATTAAAATAAAATAAAAATACACTGAACAGCTATTCGCTCACAAGAAAACTGCACGAATGTTTATTATGAATATGAATTTCCATATCCTGGATATTTGTCATTTATGGCCTAATGAACGTTCAGAGGGCCCTCAAGGTTAGGGCAACATGACATATTTATTCATAGTTTGTTTACGTTGGCCGTCTGCCAAAGCAGAGGGCATGGCCACATTTTTGATGTGAGACACTTCAGTTACTTGCGAGGTTGTTAAAATATAATGTCACCAGATAAAAATTATTATCAATTGTGATTAAAGTTATTTCACTGATATTTGTGCCTTATCGCTTACCCTTAATGGCTTTCAGTCTTTTTCTCTTTACTTTTTTCTGAAAAAATACCTCTGACAGTAGCTCAGCTCAGCTTGTTTTGTGTTGAAATCCGTGATAATTAGTGTATTTTATTCTTTTGGCAGATGTCATCCACCTACTCTTGATTTGTGTTTTGATTTTAAGAGATACTCATGCTAAGCTACACCCAGCACAGCTAACTCTGATGTGTCTTTTTCAGCTCTGGTTTTATAAAGCTCTGATGAGTCTAACTCCTCTTGTAAGTAACACAGCCTCATACATTTTTTATATAAAAATATAAAATTTCCTACTATTTTGGAAAATATTTAAATAAATAATAATCTTTCATGTGGTTAACCACACGCTCCTTCAGTTAGCTGAAAGCTTAATTCAAGTTAGTCTCTCCTGCTAAAATAAAGGTTGAAAATAAATAACATCGAATTGAAAAGCACAGAATTTTCACAAAATTATGTTATTTGACTAAATAAACCACAGATGGCATAAAATGAGGTTTGTCTGTTGTTGGTTTGAATTCCCACCGTATGTATCTCCATAAGGGCGGTAAAACCAATGGACAGAATTTGGTCTACATCCGTAACATCTCACCAAGTGAAGTCCAAGATCTCCGAGAAGTTTTGAAAAAAATAGGTTCCGTCACAAACTTCCTGCCTCTTCTCAATAAGGTATGAATGCAAACTACATGTTATTTAAAGATAAGTGTAAAGAATAGTTCCTGGTGGTCCTAAATATCTTCTCTTTCCTAGGTTTTTATTGAATTTAAATCCATGCACGATGCCGATCGGCTCGGAGTTTGGTACAGTTTCCTGAAGAGAGGCTTCACCCACATAGTTCACAGGTTGAAGACGCCACAGAGCAACAGGAGAACAAAGTGTAAGGAAATGTGAACGTATATACGTGGGAAGTTTAATGGTGCTTTTTCTTCTAAAAATGAAATGGAAGTAATTATGAAAGTATGGTTCAGTCCACTTCCTTCATCTCTGGTTTACTCAGGTTCTTTAGACAGAGTTTACACAAGTTTCTTTTACTTTGATACTTTAATCAACATTTGTTGTTCAGCAACGTTTTGAAGTCACCCTTACAAATCAGCTCAATACTATTTTAAAGATCTCATTCACTTGTTTTATCCCCCAATGAATCTTCTGCTGTGGTCTCAAGTATGAGTGAGTTACTGTTGAGTTGTTTTCTATGGGAGGGTAAAGCTCTCCAGTTTCAGGGGGGCAGTTTGTTGGAGGAGTGGATGGTGGATAATGACAGGATGTGAACATCTTGCCTCTGATTGGCCAACTGTGGTGTTATGTCCACAAATATCACCCATTCCAAGCTTGTAGACTAAAAATTACTTTATCTGGAAAGGGTTATCTCAGCCTGATGAACAAACGCTGGTGACAGAGGTGAAGCTGCTGTAGCTCCTTAAACATCCCTGCATGATTTTCGCTAGCTTTAGCTCCTTTCCTTTGCCTGTTAGCTGCTGTCACAGTTGCTAAGTGACAGGACCTACAGGCTGTGGTAGAGGTGAAGACCAGACCGTCTGAATTCGGAGACGCTGATTCTGGTCTTAGCAGTCAAGCGAGGACGCGTACGCACAAACATCTTACCAAAGTCTTTACATGTTCGGCCATGTTGTGAAGTTGCTATTGCTGATGCTTAGCTTCTACTAGCCAAGACTTGCACTCCTGGCTGCTAAAACAACACGGTGGTCCCTAGCCTTGGTGGGCGGGGCCATAAATGCAAATTTTCCTAACAATGAAGAAGAGACTGACTTTCTGACCCGATCGTTTCCCCGTCCATTTCCGTTCTCCGGCTACTGCTGGCGATGACGGTTGAGGATAATTTCATGTTCAGCATTCAAATGCTACTCAAAGCGGTTGATCGGATGTAAAACATAGAAGTATTTTGTGGTTTTTCAGAGACGAAACACAATGTTGGTTACATTTCTCTTAATTTCATGCACCAGATGACTGAGTATGTACTTACAGCCTATTTTGATGAATGCAGCAGCATGTCATTATCATTACTGGGGAAGTTGAAACAAATCTGAATTTTTCTGGTTCCCTTCGCTTATTTTTGAACTTCCTTCTCAGTCTACAGAGAGTACAGACGCTTTTTTCTCAGCTCCCTTATCTGCTTCCCCAAGGCTCTTGTCCCGTCTGCCTACAGAGCACTTCTCTGCATTTCTCCTGAAACCACTACTCTTTTGGAAATATGGACCTAATTAACTGGTCATTCAACGCGATTGACAAAATTTTTTCTATGATGAGAACGGAGAAGGGGGCTCCCACCTGTCCCGAGGGGACATTCGCAGCGGGATATGCACTCGATTCTCGGGAGGTCTGGCGGGTCGTGTGCCTCTCTCAGTTGTCCATCGAGGACGTGGAAGATTTGTGGATGTTCGGCCTGATGATCACTGGATTTCTTCTGATTGGAGTGGGAGGATATCTGGTTTTCTGGAAATTTGGGAAGACGGGAGCGATTGGAGTGCGACCCGTGCCCATGGAATGTGCCGCTCGGGCGGTGACCTCACAGACTGGGACGTTACTCGAGGTGAACCATAAGCTGGATAATGTCCTCGCGGCGTTGCCTGTTTTAGTACGCAAGATGGATGTCATCTCGGAAAGGGTCACCGGACGATGTGGAGATGTTTAGAACACATAAAATTGGCTTCACGGTGGACATGAATGACCACTTATAGACTCCAAGGAAGAGAGGAAAATTATCTCTGCCTGCCCCAAACAGTCATGTTTAATCCTTATCTGACGCCATGACAGCCTCTCAAGGCTGCTTCAACACACCCCCACGAAAGGAGGAATGCCAACAGATGCTGTGTCCCGACCTTCACCCTCTTCCTTCAGATTGAGACGTCTGCGGGAAAATCAATGTGCTCTCTGTTCCTTATCTCTCCCTCCCACCTGTTGGTCTGCAGCTGGTTGATGCGCTGTACCGGCAGCTCCCATTGGAGGCTTCAGGATCCCCGCCCATCCCTGCCTCCCCATCTGTCTGTGATGTTTGTGTGTGTGCTGTTTGTGCTTCTATGTCGAGTTTTTTTTTGTATAATAGAGTTACTCCCTGCTGGGTCTAACTCTGCTATGCCTTTTTTTTTACCTTACCCCCAATTATCCTCATGTAACACCCTTTTCATCTATCTATTAAGGTAGCGCGACTCATGTTGCAAATGACCGCAGTCACCAATTCTTGTCATGTGTCTTACCCATGTATGTCTGATCTCTGAATTGTGTGCACTGAAACTCAATTTCGTTTCTCTGTATGCCCTGCACATGTGGTAGAAATGACAATAAAAAACGACTTTGACTAAATCAACTCCTTGTATTTTTTCTTTTCTCAGGCCCAGAGCTGCCGATGAATGCTCTGCCAGACAAGAAGCTCATCATTCCCGGGGCAGACGTACCGAACGCAAAATACGGCATTCCTCACGGCACGACGCCACCATTTTGGATCACCATGACAACCATTCCTTATGTTTTCTCAACTGCATGTCCTTGGTTCAATGTCCCAGGTATGAGAAAGGCAGTTCCAGGTATCCTCTGCTCCCTATGTACTGTGAATCATCCCGTTTAATTCCGTACTTGCAGATTTCCTGACCATCCAAGGAAAGCAGGACCGCGTGGTAAGCGCCTTTTTATAAAATGGTTTATCAATAAGTCAAAATATTGTTAAAGAGTTTAAACTTTCAGTTGGTTTCTCGAAGAACGTACTACGTGTTTGTTTTGCTTTGATTTTCTTGCTCTCGGCTGTACTTGTCTCTTTGGATCTTTGCGTCCTGTAGACAAACCACCATCCAGGCTCTGGGTACTGTACGGTCATGTTGACGGGTCTACCTGAAGGAAACTACACACACGAGGACGTTGCCAGGCTGGTGTGGCGGTATTTCCCCAAAAAGAACCTCCAGACTCTCTACTACAACATCCTGGTCCTTCCACTGCAGCGGAGGGTGAGCAGCTGTAAAATAAGCATCTCCTCTCCCTCGCAATATTTACTTTTTCTAATGTGGTAAAAAAAATAAGTTGACATGGAGTCAAACGAGGGAAACCCAGACCGTCACTAGACAGTAGTACGAACACTGTCCATTTGGTTCTGGTTCTCAGCAGAAGCCCTGATGTGTTTCGCTACCTTTTTGTGTTATTCTAGACAGGATGTAATCTTAACTACGCTTCATGCATCAGAGTTCTGAGTACAAAGTCCCATGTTCCTTTTTCTCCTTTCTTGTGGTCGCCTCGTCACCCGAAGAGGCCCAGGTTTCCACAGCCAGTAACACCCAACTGTCATCAGGATAAATGCAACTGTGTCTCAACCCCCTTTTAAAACTGGTTTCATTGTTTCACAAAATTCTGAGTTACAAGCATAGATGGACAACATGTTCTTCATCTGTGGGATGAATAAAAACATGTTAGCCTGCAAACACCCAGTGGGACTGAGCTTTATATTTTCAGAAGATGCCTTTATTAACTGTGTGTTTCTCTTTTCTGCTCTCATCACCACCAGGCTTTTGTGTATTTCTGCAGCCAAGAGGCGTGCTGCCGTTTCGTTCGTTTTCACATCAAAAGGCCGCTTGTTCTCTGTAACGTTCCTCTCCAAGTCCATTTCGTCTTACAGGACCTTCGTCATGAACCCCGTGAGGTACGAGAACCATTTGTCATCAATGCTGTTTGGATCGCTGGCTGTAATGCACATAACACACAAGCTTGCAAAATAAAGGACAACACCTGTCCCCCTCCAGCTCAGCTGTGTGACTGCACTGACCTGTCCTGTGTGACCCTCATGTCCATGCTGTCTCTGGAGGAGCAGATAGGACACAATATCTCCTGTAACTTAAAATGAACCAAAGCTTCCTTCAGTTTCTCTTTAAGTTGAATTTAACATCAGTTTATCATCATGAAACAAAAGAATAAAGTGGAACAAGAACTTCTATCTTCTATCTCTCTCTACTTTTAACTTCTCCTGTGTCCCTAAATAAGAGACAGATGATTACGCTGCAGCCGCTGTCACTCACCCCGCCCCCTCCCCAAGACCGGATCTCCCGACATCACATCACTCGGTCTGACTGAGCGCTTCCTGGAGAAACAATAATGAAATTATGAAAATAATAATGCGTGTTTGGACGAGCGTCCTCCCATCCTCTCTCTCTCTCTCTCTTTCTCTCTTTCTCTCTCTCTCTCTTTCTCTCTCTCTTTCTCTCTCTCTCTCATTCTCTATCTCTGTCTATCTCTCTCTCTCTGTCGCTGATCGAGCGAGCGGAGCGTGCCGCGGGACCGCTCAATTAGCATAGTTCATGGCCCAAGTCCAACAGAACCGATCGGGCTGATTCGGTTCGGGTTCGGTCTCAGGTTATAACTCCAGTGCTCAGCCCTGCAGTACCACATAAAGGCAGATCAAAGTTTCCTACCCGGTAAATGTGGAGAACACCGCTCTGACAGATGTGGATGCTACGCTGATGCCGCCGTTAAAATAACAAAACTACATTCCACTATAATTGATTATGTTACTCTTCTATGATGCAGAATCGTTTATTCCCGCATCTCATGCATTGATTATTTGATTATTTTCCTCAGCTCTATCCATCCCACACCTCCCGGTCGGCCGTCGGCAGTGGGGGGGTGCGTGCGGGGTTTGGGGGCCACAAAGAGAGGGCTCGCGGGCCGCCATTTGAGGACCACTGTACTACAGTTTATTGTTTATTTAAATATTTGCAAATCATTTAAATCATCAAAGACTTGATTTTATTTGTAGAATTTATGTTCAGTTTTCTAAAAACCTTTACAATGATTTAAAAAAAAACAAATATAATAAAACAAATAGTTGGTCTAATTATTTTAGGTTTGCTAAAGTCAACAGTTTCAGTGCATGTGGAGCATTATTTGAGATTGAGTAAGAATGTAGTTGGAACCCAAACTCTTCTTGCATTTTAAAGCACAGCTATGGTGAATGAATGAATATTTATTTCACTGACTGTCAGTGAAATAAAAAGTCAGCTTCTGTGAAAATCTGTTTATTTTTTCTTTCATTTTCTTTGCAGGAAATCATGTACAGAGTTCTGATGAAATGGAGCAACTCTGTAAGCTGTTTCTTTTTTATAAAAATCAACTGTACATAAGCTAAACGGTTGACCTAATCAGCAGCTGTTGGTTATCGTTTTTTTTTTTTTTTTTTTTCAGTACGTACCAGAATTGAACTTCCTGGAGAATCGCCTACTGTGTGTGGAGCTCTCTGAAGTGAACATGGACCTCATTTGGAGGGTCATAAAAGAAGTGGCAACCATGAGTTGTTTTCTCAACTTCCTGCCTCTTGCCAACAGGGTATGACGAAACAATCGCCTGCCATGTTTACCTTTAGGGAGCGTGTTTATGCAGATGTGCTATTTGGAGCAAATTTCTTTTCACTTCGTTTCTTCTCACTTTGCCTGTTTTTCTGCCTCAGATTTGCATCGAGATGGTTGAGTCCAGTGGGGTAAAGAAAGTGCTGGATGAGATTGACCAGAGAGGGGATTTATTGACGCACAAAACCTGGTATGTTCAACCGGGGTGACAACATAAGAGTTCATTAGTAGAACACAAACAAAATCAGTAAAGTGGGTTGTAATTATCTCTGCACGGAACGGTTGAGCCAGGGCATGGTCAAGTCTAATTCTCATGCACAGACGGTAAAACCGTGTAGCGTTAGTGTCACACGTGCCGGCAAACGGAGCGGAGATGAAGTGAGGATCCAACACGGGTGAGGAAACCAGGCAGACAGGTGAGAACGTTCGATAAGTCTTTAATAAGAGGCACGCAGGACAATGAAACAGTGATCCAACAAACAACAGAGAACAGAAGGGGTTTAAATACACGAGGGCAGGGAGCTAAGGTGATTAGGAAACGAGAGGCAGGTAGGAGCAATAAACGGAGACACAAGGCTGAACCAAACAGGGAGACAGGACAGGTTGTGACAGTACCCCTCCCCCTCAAAGGGTGGATTCCCGACGCCCACAGGAGCAAGGAGCAGGGCGGGAGGAGGGGGACCCGGAGGGAGGGCCAAGAGGAACCGAGGGCCCGATGAAGAAGAGGCAGGAACCAGCAGAGTCCGGGGGGCCTGCGCCTGGGGCAGAGGAGGCGACGACGGGCTCTTGGGGGCCTGCGTCTGTGGCCGAGGAGGAGGCGACGACTGGCTCTTGGGGACCTGCGGCAGTGGAGGAGGCGACGACGGGCTCTTGGGGGCCTGCGGCAGAGGAGGAGGCAACGACGGGCCCTTGGGGGCCTGCGTCTGCGGCAGAGGAGGAGGCGACGACGGGCCCTTGGGGGCCTGCGTCTGCGGCAGAGGAGGAGGCGACGACGGGCCCTTGGAGGCCTGAGTCTGCGGCAGAGGAGGAGGAGACGGGTTCTTGGGGCCCGGCGTCTACGGTAGAGGAGCTCTGCAGGCTGGGCCAGGGACATAGTCTCTGCAGGCTGGGCTGGGGACATAGTCTCTGCAGGCTGGGCCGGGGGCAGAGCCCCTTGGACGGGCTGGGCCGGAGACAGAGCCCCTTGGATGGGCTGGGCTGGAGACAGAGCCCCTTGGGCGGGCTGGGCCTGAGACAGAGCCCCTTGGATGGGCTGGACCGGAGACAGAGCCCCTTGGACGGGCTGAGCCGGTGCCATAGTCTCTGCGGGCTGAATCGGAGCCTCATGGAAGGGCTGGACCGGATACGGTGCGACCTCCAAAACCACCACTGGAACCGGAGACGGCAGAGACGTCGGACCAGAGGGAGCGTCAACCTCTGGAGTGGAACGAGCGTCGACCTCTGGAGTGGCACGAGCGTCGACATCAGATGAGGCGTCGACATCAGATGAGGCGTCGACTCCAGATGAGGCGTCGACTCCAGATGAGGCGTCGTTTCCAGATGAGGCGTCGATCCTTGGACAGGAAGAGGCGTCGACCCTTGGACAGGAAGAGGCGTCGACCACCATCAACTTCTGGTCCAGGGGCATCGGCTTCTGGTCCGGGAGCGTCGACTTCTGGTCCTTCGACTTCTGGACCGTCGACCTCTGGACCGCCGGCCTCTACACCGTAACCGGAACCGTCTGCTTCTGGTCTGGGGGCGTCGGCTTCTGGTCCGGGGGCGTCGACTTCTGGTCCTTCGACTTCTGGACCGTCGACCTCTGGACCGCCGGCCTCTGGACCGGGACCGGAACCGTCTGCTTCTGGTCCGGGGGCGTCGGCTTCTGGTCCGAGGGCATCGACTTCTGGTCCTTCGACTTCTGGACTGTCGACCTCTGGACCGCCGGCCTCTGGACCGGGACCAGAACCGTCTGCTTCTGGGCCGGTCCCGTCTGCTTCTGGGCTGGTACCATCTGCTTCTGGACCCGGACCGTCTGCTTCTGGGCCCGACCCGTCCGCTTCTGGGCCGGATCCATTGATGTCTGGAGTGGACGCGGAGCCGCTGCGGGAGGGGCTCCCTGGACCGGCTGGACCAGATGCGGTGCGACCTCCGGGACCACCGCTGGAACTGGAAGCGGGGCGTCCACCGGGGCCACCGCTGGAGCAGGCTGCGACAGAGCAGGTGGTGCTGGGAACAGTGAGAGGAGGGAGGACAGACTGTCCAGCTGAAGCTCTTTGAGGCTGAGCGTCCGATGGAGCTGGACCAGCTCAGCCCGGAGACCGGCGAGCTCCGCTGGGTGAACCCCAGGCTTGCTCCTCTGGCTCAGAGATAAGGGAGCTGCATGCTGGCCCGAGACCTTCTCCTGGCAGTTCGGGGAGGCTAGAGCGTCCAGGTGAGACTCCTGGAGGCTGACGAGCTGGCGGATCCGGCCAAGCTCCGCCTGGAGCTCTATCAGCTGGGCTGTGGGTGCTGCTCCTCCGCCTGCAGACGACGGAGGCGCCAGTTCGGCAGGAGACAGGACTGGTGGTCTGGCCGGGGGCGTGTCCAAACTGCTGCGCCTGGCAGGGGCGGCGGCAAGCTCACAGCTCCGTCCCGGGACACCGGATTGTGGTGGAGTCCGGCGTCTTTCCCCACGCCGTGGACCGACTCCCGGGGAACAGACAGCCAGCCTCGTGCCCTCGTAGCCGGAGCGATCCAGGAGCGTCTCCCCATCCAAACTCCCATCCGGTTCCGAGAGGGTGGCGAGGATCACCGAGGCTGATGGTCGGGGACGCCGGCGGCGAGGCGGAGCTGGAGAAGGAGAAGCTGGCCGATGGTTGGAGGAGAGGAACTGGAGCAGGCACTGCCATGGGAGAATCTCCCCGCTGGATCCTTTAACGGGTTGTGGTTGGATCATTCTGTCACGTGCCGGCAAACGGAGCGGAGATGAAGTGAGGATCCAACGCGGGTGAGGAAACCAGGCAGACAGGTGAGAACGTTCGATAAGTCTTTAATAAGAGGCACGCAGGACAATGAAACAATGATCCAACAAACAACAGAGAACAGAAGGGGTTTAAATACACGAGGGCAGGGAGCTAAGGTGATTAGGAAACGAGAGGCAGGTGGGAGCAATAAACGGGAGATACAAGGCTGAACCAAACGGGGAGACAGGACAGGGTGTGACCGTTATATCCGTCAGTGTTTCAAAACCAAAGTAATGCCATCTATCAGTTCTCTTTCTTAACATTCGTTTCAATGTCTCACTATGGGATACGCCCCTCCGCGGATTCCTCAGAAGCACTTATCTCAATACGCCAATCCTGATTGGCCAGTGACCGTGACGTACGCGTCCAGCGTCCCAACGTACGCACTATTCAATCACCTCTTCTCGCTTCGGTGGTCGCTTATCTCTGAGGTAAGTTAGCTCAACTGTTCACAGACGGAGCCTTCTAATATTCTCTCCGTCGCCGAACGTTAACTTACCGTCCTTCTGTCCTGACCTTCACCATAGGCTCGGGGCATAACGAGCAGCTTCACACTCCAGTGCATCTGTTCGTTCTATGCTAACACACCAGTTTGCCAACATGGAAGCCGCTCCTCCCACCAGAGGAGTCGACGGCGCAGGAGCTCGCCTCTGTACCTGTGGGAACAAAATCTCAAGCAAAGATCCGCACAGGGTCTGCTCGAGCTGCCTCGGGCTGGAACACGCCCAGCTGGCATTGGAAGTCCCCAGGTCATGTGAGAGCTGCGCTTGCTTCACCCTGAAGAGCCTTCGCCGGCGGCTAGCGCGCCAAGCTAGCCTGTCGGGGAAGGACCCTTGCCTGCCGGCCCCTGGGCCACCACCTGGGGACGCCAGCGAACATGTCCTCCCGGAGCCGGAACCGTGTGCCGAACTCAGCTGGGGCTCACAGCTCGAACTGGCCGGTCCGAGCCACCCCGCCGAGGACGTGTTGGAGTTGGACTACGGATACGACGAGGACACCTCGGAACTCCTCATTTCAGAGGAGGACGGCATCTTTTCCCCCATCGCTCAGGCCTCCATGCCTAGCTTTCCGTCCTCTCCCAGGGATGGAGCGGCTTCTCCGGCCGCCCACCTGGACATGCAGTCAGTCTGCCGACGCGCTGCGACCAGGCTCAACATCCCTTGGCCCACCGTGGTCACTGAGGCTGTCAGATCCCGCTACGAGGGAAAGAAGCTGCCTCAGGCCACGAGGGCGGCAAAGCCCCTCCTTCCCGCCTTCCCGGAGCTACTCCAAGAAGTGAGGTCCTCCTGGGACAAACACCCGTTCAGCTCCAGGTCTCCTGTCCAAGGAGCCTCCTCGCTGGACTTCGAAGGGATGGAGAAGGCTGGCATGCTTCGCATGCCGCCGATGGAACCGCTGGTTGCAGCCCACCTGCACCCACGGCTCTCGGCGACTTCCTCCAGGCCTCCCGCTCTCCCTGCGAAGGCGGACTGCTTCCAGTCGGCGCTGAACGAGAGGGCGTACAAGGCTGCCGCCATCTCGGTCCGAGCTTTGAATGTCTCCTCCATGCTCTTGGCGTACCAAGCCGAGCTCTGTGAGGACATGAATACGAAGCCGGACCCGGAGGTGTGGGAGGAAATCACTGTACTGACCGACATCTGCCTGCGTGTGCAGCGCTGCGCGGTCCATGCTACGGCTAAAGCTATGGGCAAGATGGTGCTTCAAGAACGTGCACGATGGCTGAACCTCACCAACCTCTCTGAGAGAGAGAAGGAGGACATTTTGGACATGCCAATCGTGCCTGAAGGCATTTTTGGCTCTGCCCTGGCATCAATGCAGCAACGGTGTGCGGCCAAAAAGAAAGAGGATGAAGCCCTTCATCTCTACCTTCCCCGTAAACCCTCACCGGCGCTGCCGGCTCGGCCGAACCTGCCTCAGGCAGCTGCCCGAGCCCAGCCTCAGTTCCGCATCCCAAAGCGCCCGAAGCTTCAAGCTGTCCAAACAGCTCCTTCGGGCTCAGCGCCTCGACCAGTTTGGCCTCAGGGATCCGGCAACCAAGCTGCTCCGCCGCCGGGACAATCCACCAGACACGGCGGTCAGCAGGTGAGGAGGAAGAAGTGGGCAGCCTGTCGGAGTTCTTCCCTCCCGACGCTGCAGCTGGCGGTTCCCCATTTGCCAGCTCCTCCTGTTCGATGTTGCCATGGTGCTTTCTCCCCCCCCCTCACGGAAC